ATATTTTTTGTCCAAAGATCACAACAATAAATTATTTACATTAACTCTTCTGTTTTCCCTCAGACATTTTCCACCAAAAGAGGCTGCCGTCTCCGCAAAGCACACAAGTCTTTTAGACAATCCTTTTTAAAATGTAGTGTTGAGTCAGACTCATCGAACACATGCTGCAGGAGGCTGCTGCTGCCGCAGCCATCATCTGTCATCACAGAGACTGGGAAAAGCTCAGCCTYGGATTAAACAGATTTAATCAGCTGCTGACAGCCAAAAATGTGCAGGAATCCAAGAGAATCAAAGTAAAAATGACATTTAAGCATCCTGCTGTTCCAACCTTTTTACTGCTCTGYTTTATTTCAGTTAGCTCGGTCCATCTGCACAGTTTGTCTCCTCCCTGAAAATCAAACCAACTGGTCTATTTAAAACTCTGCTAGTCCAATTACAAGAATGGATCTTTATCAGCGTATAAACAGGTACACAGTGGTGGAGGTGGTTCTGCTAATCAGCTAAATGCTAAAGGTGGAACTCATTGTTCAGTCAGAGCATTAGCTTCTCCACTAACTTTGAAAACTGTTAGCAGACCATTTAGCATCCACTAMATGTGGTTTTGCTAACAACTGAGCTGACACCAAGATGTTTGTGTCAGTCCCACCAGTCTTCAGCTGGAAAAATACGAAGACTGAGTGACAGTTGTCTTTGCCCTTTTAGCTTTTGTTTTGCTAAATATAAGACATGACTATGCTTGTTTTAGTCATTTTAGCTGCTCTTTTTCTAAATTAGCTTTTAGCTACTGTTATCTTGCTGCTAATGTTTTGTTAAGTTTAACTTTCAGTTTGTATTCTGCTGGTTTTAAYTTTTAGTTAATGTGTTGCAAGGTTAGCCTTTAGCTACTGTTCTCCTGGTTTTGACTTATAGCTTTCATTTAGCTAAATATGAGACATTGCTATGGTTTTAGTCATTTTACCTACTGTTTTTCCTGGTTAGCTTTTAGCTATTGCTCTACTGTTTCTGGATTTTGTTCTGCTAGAAGGAGAAATGGCTACTTTTAGCCATTTTAGCCAAGGCTGTGAGTGAAAATATAATGATAAATGGATGAACAGCACCTTTCTGTCCAACCAGGATACTCAGTGTTTACACTACAATCTGTGTCCTCATTAACACACACACACACACACACACACACACACA